TTTTTTTCCTTTTTCAAATTGACAATAAAAGGACAGAAGATATCTACATTCAAAACAAAAATCACAAAAAAGATTATTTAGCTCTTGGGTGCTTATCTCTGGCTGTATGGCAACTAAACATTAGAACTGGAAGAGCAGATGAAATAGCACAGAAGTTCTAAGATTAGGTGATGCAGATATAGCTTGAAGACAAAATTAGGACACCCAGGTCAGGTTGAGGCAATGAAAGCCTGATACCTGCAACAGTTCTTCCACTATGTCTTTTGCATTTGAAACATCACACATTCCATATAGTAAATCAAGCGCACGTCTCCTTATACTGTTTGAAGTACTTAACGTCAGTAAAGAAAGCAATTTGAATACTTAAGTGGAACTTAATAGACAGACACAAGCGGCTATTGTCGATATTTTCCCATCATTTCACCAGAAAAGAGGACATATAAATAAAACAGCAGACATATTGAATGTCCAGCTCAGCTCCAATGTCATTAAATTGACAAAGAGAGCTTTCTCTTAAAGGAGTAATCATGCACATGTCACACTGAGAAAGCTTTTGGGCAGAAAAAATTGAGCTTTACTAACTTGGTTGTTCCAGCAGCACATTTTACTTAATGTACTTCTGTTGTGAAACAAAAGCCATCAGTTTCAAATAGAGTTCCGAGGATACCAACCAAACTCAAGCTGAAACACATAACACCAAGCAAGTTTTTAATGTAGTCTCATAAATAGAACACAGCATGTGCAAGGCAGTTTCAAATTCCGGTCATTCTAAGAAAAATCAATTACATGGTTTCCAAAATATAGGAGAAAAGTACTATAAAATCAAAGTGCAGGGATGAGATAATTGTGAGTCAAACATTCACTTGCCACACTGACAGTATCATATGCATAGTTGTGAGTCAAACATTCACTTGCCACAATTTATCATATGCAACAGTTCCATAACCACAAAGTTCCACAGTTCCACAGACCACAAAACTGCAACAGTTCCACAACCACAAAGTTTCAACAGTTCCACAAAGCCACCAAATAATAGAATGAATTCATAAAATTTTCAAGTCACAAAATATTTTCAGCCCACAAAACATTATCAATCTAATTTGTAATGCTTGCCCCTCCAAAAATAGCAGTTTAAGAAGTTTCATTGTGCCATTACATACTAAATGAAAACTCTTTAAACCAATACTTAGCAACTACTTTCTAATGTTTGCCCCTCTTTGCCTTAAGCTTGCCAATCTTTTTTTCCTTGTCTTTTTTCAACTGACTTGAGGTCACACATGCTTTGCCTTTCCAAGTTAGCTTTTTTGGTGAGTATGGTAAATTAGTAGGGACAACAACACCATTTTCATCACCCTTAGAACTAATCATTCTTAAACCAATTGGTTGTTGTAGCATCTTTTTCATTTGAAGTCTAGTTTTTTCTTCAGATATCACTCTAGGTGCAAGGATTGTATTCTCATCCTCAGATTCAATACTGTCTTCAACTTCATCCTGATCAAAAATTGCAATCAAAGGTGCAGTAACTTTTTCTTTTCCATCGTTTTTAGACCTCTTTGGTAGTGCATCAACTTTGTCCTTTGAAACATTTTTTCTCTTTGATTTTGAAGGACCAGCAACTTCATTGAATTCTTCACTTGATTGATGGCTAGTTTGTCGACTAGAAGATGCAACAAATTCAAGAGTTGGCATCAAGATTGGTTCATCTGGGAGAACTTGTCTTCCTTCTTGAAGCTGTAAAATTTGTCAAAGTGTAAGATAAATAATTATACATTGAAAGTAATTAAAAATTGATAAAACACGACTTACTAGGGGACATCTTCTTCGATTATGACCTACAGCACTGCAATTTCCACATGTCATTTGCAATCCTTTTCTACTTTTCGACCATAATCCTTCCCTTTTTCTTGCCTCATCTTTTTCCCTTACTCTCTTTAATTTTGGTCTACCAACCAATTTATGAATTTGTGGTGGTTGCATAGCTTGAGAAAGATCAATTTTCCAGAATTTCTCACCTCTAACAGGTTGAATTTTAGGCTGGTATACAAGCAAGTAAGCTTCTTTAGAATACCACCAATGCATCTCATTTAGTGGCTCTATTTTATCATGTTCTAATGCTTTAATAGCATGAGGACATGGTATTCCTGTCAAATCCCATGTCCTACAAGTACACTTCTTTCTAGAAAGATTCACAACATGTCTATCTACACCCTCAACCACCTCATATCCTAAGTCTCCATTAGCAACAACTTGAAAACCTTGAGCAATCATTCTGAAATCATGATACAGATCCACAGAATATGGACTATACTCTTCCGTCCACTTCTTACCCTCTTCTTCATGTTTTTTCAACCTTTTCATAACCTATAGATAACAATGAAATATATAACATGTACATGACATATATAATTTATACATGTTCACCTACATATTACTATCATATTAAACATTAATAGATGTTATCATATAGTTATATAAAATAGCGGCAATACCTTAATTCTAATGTCTTCCAGCATCTTGATTATTGGTTTTGCCCTTGCTTCCAAAATCCATTTGTTGAAAGACTTAGTAAAATTATTTTCACAGGAGTAGTTTTTGCAGACAGTGTCAAAAAAGGCCCTGCACCAATGTTGTGGTGGATACCATAAAAGACCTTCGACTGCTTTTTTAGACACAGAACCCATGGACTTTAATTGGTCTTCAAATTCCTCTCCATATGTACTCCAAGCAGACCACCAAAACATCTTCTTCATCTGTACACCACTCCAAGACTTAGACCAATTGGCTTCTATGTGTTTTGCACACCATCTATGTTGTACTTTTGGAAGCAAAGCACTAACAGCACCAATCAAGCCCTGTAACAATAAGAAAAAAATAGAATAGAATAGCTTAAAAAAATTCAAGTGTATACAATAACTATAAATAAAAAACTGTCAAACACTTGCAAAATTACCTTTTGCATATCAGACATTAGTGTCAATCCTTCACCATCTGCCAACCTCAATGAGTTCCTCAGCAACTCAATGAACCATTTCCATGTTCTAATAGTTTCTCTGTCAACTACTGCCCAAACAAGTGGATAGAAATGCTTCATTGAATCTTGACCAAGTGCGACCAATAAAATTCCCTTGAACTTGCCTCTTAAAAAGGTGTCATCTAACCCTATAAATGGTCTCAAATC